TCCCCTAATCTCAGGGACAGTTCAAAGGGAGTTCGTGAAGATATGTAAACGCCGGATGAAGGGCATGGTTAGCACTATGCGCAGAAGCCATAAACGACCAACTTGGATTGAGCCCCCACTCTGGACAGTGATGTGCACCGAGTGGGACACAGAATTAGCAAAACAAAAGGAGCAAAACCTATTCTACTGCTCGTTTGTCTGATCGCAAAGGTCTTGGTCCTCACAAACATTTATCTGGGCAGATGTCGTATACACAAATCCAACAGGAAATGGTAAGTTACATTTACATATCTTACAATTTCTATATCTTTAACCACTGCTATTTTAAAAATCTTTTCATTATTTGTAACATTTCAGGAGGAGAGTTAGGAAGACCAGTGAGTATTGGTGAGGTTTTTATCAAGACCCATACAAGACAGGACGGAACATTTGTTGATGCAAAGGCCAAGAACATCGCTGAAATTTATGAGAACAACGTCAAAGCTAAGTTGTCCGAGCTGGAGGCAAATAATTCAGAAACTTTGAATGGTGATCCTCAACGTCGCCATCTCTCCATATACGAGTACAACGAGCTATTTCTGTTGGTAATATACATTCTTCACTAACTGGTTTGATTTTTCAGTCTGTTATTTATCTTACACACTCTACATTATAACTTGTTTTCTTTTGACAGTCCACTTTCAAGGATGAAAGAGGACGTCCTTATGGCTTTGGAAGCCTCAATAATTCTCATGTTAATGGCAAGCGTAAGGAAAGCTCTTCATGCTTTGTGACGTTCGAACAACAACTAGAAGAAGCTAAACATCAGATAGAAGAGCAAGCTGCTTATAATACACAGCGTGAAGCAGAGAGTTCCTGACAATTGGCTGAGCAACAAAAAGAGATCAAGCGCTTCTCATTGGTGGAGCAGTTCCTCCGTGAGACTAATCCTGAGTTTGTAGACTTTATGGCTTCTCAACCCGCTCCATCATGTGCAGGTTCGACCCAAAACACAGCTCCCTCTCTCGTTCTTTCTTAATCCACTGTTTTTGTACTTATGACTACTTTTGTATTGTACTAAAGACTTAATGTTTTGGTAACTCCACTGTTGGAGTTTTCATCTGTAGACTTAATGTTTTGATAACTCCATTGTTGAAATTTTGTTTGTAGAAAATGGTTTATATATAAACTATTTTGCATTTTCTATATTAGTTATTCTAAATTTGCAGATTTGAATGCCAAAACAATTACTAATTTTGTAGATTTGAGTACCAAAAGAATTACCAAATACAAAATTTAATAAACAAATAAGTCATTATTTAGTCATATATTAGTCACTAAAAAGTTGTAAAATTGTGGTATAATAGTCGCTAAAAAATTACCATTTTTTGTATCCATACTATGTTTAATCGCTAAATTATCGCAATAAAGTCATTAACTTAATCACTGAATAATCGCGTTTTAGTCGCACTTTTAAAAACAAATTAGTCGTACTACCGTCGGTAAGTGGTCACTATCTTTTAGTCGCTAAATAGTCGCGTATTAGTCGCACTTTTAAAAACAAATTAGTCGTAATATCGTCGGTAAGTGGTCACTATCTTTTGCGACTATTTTCCAACTAATTAGTGACAACAAACTGAACTCGCTTATTAGTCATAATATAGTCGTAAATTTATGACTAATATGCGACTGTTGGATTTTGCGACTAAGGATTGGTGACTTCTCTGATTAGTCGCAAAATAGTCGTAAATGTCATATTTACGACTAATAAGCGACTAATTTTGCAGTCATTAATTAACAGTTTTCTTGTAGTGAGATCAGGAGGCAAGCTTACCACCTTTTCATCCCTGAGCTCTGCCAAGCCTAGGGTCTGAAAGCTAGCGCCAAGCTCGTTGAGTTTCCTTCTTTCACTCTAGCCAACGACCTATGGGATTTGATCAGCAACGATGACTACAAGGCTAACACGGCCAAGATCAAGAGAGTCCGCAGCCCCGTGCTGAGATACACCCTCAAGCTCATAGCCAACACTTTCAGTGGAAGGTATGTGACTCCAACAGTCACCAAGAATGAGTTGTGTTTTCTCTTCCAAGGCGTTAAGCACCTTCTATGCGATCCTAAGGAGAATGACGAGCCGATGGAAGATGATCTTGGAGATGATGTCAATTATGGATGCATTTTGGCTTCCTCAAGTTGCTCGTGCACCTTCAGAATCACCTCCCTCAGATGCCGTGATGCCAGCCAGCTTCGACCTCCCTAAGCTTGATTTGAGCCTAGGACCAAAACCGAGAATTTCCTTGCATCCATGGTAGAGATTCAGCGGAAGGTGAATAAGTGGCAGAGCAAGATGATTAAAAAGCTTGCCAAGAAGATCAAGGACTTGCAAAAGAGCTCATCTGAGGCATCTTCAAGCGATGATGTTGAGCAACCCGAGAAGAGAAGGAGTTCAACTGGTCGGATAGTGATCCGTGAGCCCCAAGGTGAAAACCAAGCTGCACGCCGCTCTCTACACGAAGGAGCAAGCAAGGAGAAAGGCAAGGTGGTCACCCACGAGACTCCTAGAAAGAGCAGGAAGTCTGGAGCATCCTCAAGCTCCAGCCATGCCTAGCTCTGAGGTACCAACTCACAACCTTGTAAATATCATGCATTTTCTTTAATTTTTGCATTGTAATTTGACTCCTCTTGAATTTGTTTGCCACCGAGATAGTGTCATTCAATTTTGGGGGAGTATGTGTGTTATTTGACATGTTTTCTTTGATATTATTTTCTGTTATCTTACTTGAGTCACCATGCATCATGTAAGGCATAGAAAAGAACAAAAAAATGATAAAAAATTTAAAAATTTTCAAAACAATCCATGTAGCTTGCATTTGAATTGCTAAACATTTTAGGATTGAGTCTAGAATTTTTAAAATCATTTAGGTTGTTTACATTTGCATAAGAGGCAAAAGTTTTTCTTAAAAAGTGTTTTAAGCTCATGAATTGTTTCAAGGCCCTAGTTAGTAGTTCTTTGATGCATTGTTCACACTTTGAAAGTAAGCTCTAACCATATTTGGATCATTTGTTTTGATTTTCGTGGCCTAAGTTGAACATTCATGAATTGAATCCTTTCCTATCAAGTGAGAACTTTAATTTGAATTTCTTGAATTATCATACTTATGCATTTGAAAAAGGATACATGGATCACTTATACATATTTAGGCTTTCTTCTTCCTTTCACCACTCTCTTGTAAGCCTAAATAGACTTCCCCACCTTTACCCTACCCTCCTTTCAAGCCAATGTTCTTGTGTATTTGAATCTTTGTGAGGCCTCTTTTCGGTTGGACTTAGCATAAAGTGTTAGGTTTAGGCGACATGATTAGGCTTTCATATTGATGCTAGCTTTGCATTTTGAAGCTAGTTTTAGGCTTAGGATAGGGCGGGTATTCATGGGAGTTGTTCTGTTTTTGTTCCAGTTTAAAGAGTTTGGAGTTTGGAAGTTGAATAAACGGGTTTAATGGTTTTAAGTGGAAGACTTTGTGTTTAAAATGAAAGCTCTAGTTTTAAAAGTAGGTAGCTCTCAAAAAGAAAAAAAATAGAAAAAAAAATAAAGAAAAGAGCCAAAAGGCCAAATGTTTAAAAAGAAAAAAAATGAGTAGAGAGCTATCAAACTAAAAAGAAAAGAGCTAAATATGTTTATAGCCTTACCACTAGCCAAAAAGGTTTTAAAGTGATGTGTTTATTTGGGTTTTGCTAGGCGTTTTGCCTTGTTGATAAGGGTAGTCTTTAGGTAGTTGAGTGAGCTTAAGAAGAAAAGAAAAATGAGAGAGGGTTCTAGGATCATTGTTAGTGTATATGGGTAGATGGGAGTCTAGTCATGTATGCATCAATTGTTTTTATCTTTAGCATTATGCATAAGTTCAACCATTCTTTGAGATAACCCATTGTTTGAATCACCCTTATAAATGAGATCATTTTTGTCTCATAACCTTGTCCCTAAGCCAAATGTATTCGGTTTTAAAGTGCATAAGTCTGATTCACGGTTTTAAGCTTAATAAATGTTAAAGGTTAGGATTTTGGATTGTTTGGGATATGAGAGTCATGATCTGAAATTCAACATGTGATGAATATGGCTAAGTTCTTTGGAGTATGACTGTGTGCATTGCATCTTAGGATTACGAACTAGGACCATTGAATTGATTCATTTGAAAAACACTTTTGCAAGGAATTTGAGCCCCCGTTTTTAAAACCTCTCTTCCTCTCTTGAATGTTGTTTGCTTGAGGGCAAGCAAAAGGCAAGTTTGGGGGAGTTGATATTACCATGTATTTTGCATATTTAGCATGCATTTAGAGTTAGTTTTCATGCATTCATCTTGCATTATAGGCTAGTTTCAACCATTTGTTGCACTTTAGGTCCTAGATCTCTTTGCATTCGCAATTTGCATATTTTCTGCATTTTTGCATCATTATCAGGTTGTTTGTGACACATTGGAGATGTGGAGGTTGCGTGGACGTGCATTGGTTCGAGAGGAAGCTTGTGGAAACTAAATTTGATCATACTTCTATATATATTAATAACAAGTTTTTAAAAATTAAATATCAAATTTCATCTGAAAACTATTTTTCTAAACCAAAATCAAATTTTAAAACCAAAATAAGATTTTTCCAAACCCAAATTTGATCAAAATTTGGTTTCCCCTTAAAACCAAAACCAAAATAAAATTTTTCCAAACCCAAATTTAATCAAAATTTGATTTCCCCCTAAAACCAAAACCAAAACCCAAATTTTGTGCCTAAACCAAAATTCTCAAAACCAAATCCCTAAATACACTAACCCATCATTCTTCTTCTCTTCTTTCCGTCGTTCTTCATCTCTTTCTTCTTTCCTTTGCCGATTAACAACCCTAATTCCCAAATTCTGTGATTGTGAATCTCAAATCCTGTGACTCTTCTTCTCTTCTCCCTAACCCCGAATCTCGAATCTCTCATTCTCTCTTGTTGTTAAAATCTCGAATCTCTCTTTCTCTCCTATTTTCGAAACTCATATGATTTCACCGATGTCGAACCAAGGACGAGTTAAGAGTGGACGAGGCAGTGTTTCGAGACTAGCCGCTCCCAATATATCTCAGAGACCAGGAGGATCCACGCCGTCGAGAACTCCCACCCCTCTACCAAGCCAATATAACTTCACCCCATCGTCCCAACCTCCGGTTACCGAGATTCCCCAATCTCAAGTCTCCATCTACTCACCTCAACCACATTTCCGAGACTTTCCTCCGCCCCAACAGCTTTTCCATGATTCTCCATCACAACAACCTGAAATCGGGAACTCCTCCTCATCGCTTCAAAATCAGAACACTCCTTCGCCTCCAGTTCAGCCATCTCCAGCGTCTACACATCATCACTCTCAAGCTCAGAGTAATCAATCTTCGGCAGCTCAACCCTTCCATGGTGAAGACGACGATGAAGTACCTCCACCTGAGCTGGTTCTCCAGGAAGACCTACAGCGTCTGTTGAATGCCATCCTTCTGGTGCCAGGCCGTGAAAAGTTTACCACTGTGCAATCTCCCGAACTGAAGCCAAACACAACTTGGTATGACTCTTCACCTTTTTCTTCTCTTAATAAGTTTGAGTCTTAATGTTTTTATGCGATCGACTTTGTGTCATAGATTATAAATCTGTGATTGATGATTGTGTCTGAGTTTTATTGCTTCTCAAAATTTTCTTCACTTCTCTGCGTATACTTTTCTTATTCTCTTCTTAGCTTATCTGCGTATGTCCTGTAGTTTAAGTGTTAAAACTATTTGATTTGTTTTGTAGGCTAAGCATCATTGTTTAGATAGATATAGTAATCTTAGTACTTGGCTTTGTTTGTTCTCAGTAATGTGTGGTTTCTCTTTTTTTTTCTGTTATTTCAACTTTCAAAATGGTCTGTTGTTAGTGAAACAAATAATGTGGTTCTTGTAGTTGCAATATCACGAGGTCATCAAACGGTTGGTTAAGATTAAAGCTCATCAAACGGTTGGTTAAGATTAAAGCTAAAGTGTTATGTATTTTTGTTTTTAGTTGTCTAAATTTTTGGCATCGAAGATATAATTGAGTCTTAATGTTTTTATGCAATCGACTCTGAATCATAGATTATTAATCTGTGATTTGATGATTGTCTTAGTTTTATTGCTTCTCAAAATTTTCTTCACTTCTCTGCATATGCTTTTGTAGTTTAAGTGTTAAAACTATTTGATTTGTTTTGTAGGCTAAGCATCGTTGTTTAGATAGATATAGTTATCTTAGTACTTGGCTTTGTTTGTTCTTAGTAATGTGTGGTTTCTCTTTTTTCTGTTATTTCAACTTTCAAAATGGTATGTTGTTAGTGAAACAAATAATGTGGTTCTTGTAGTTGCAATATCACGAGGTCAGTAGTATATTAAAAAGCTCATCAAACGGTAGGTTAAGATTAAAGCTAAAGTGTTATGTATTTTTGTTTTTGGTTGTCTAAAATTTTTGGCATCGAAGATATAGTTGAAGATTTGATAAAAATGTGTAATGCTGAACGTGCTTACTTATTTGCTTAGTTGAAGATATAGTCTCGTTAGTTGGTTTCAATTATTCAATTATTTGCTTACTTTTACATATTGTTTCTTTGTTTAAAGGTCTGATCATGACAAAGGGTCCTCTGTCCGAGAGATTACTAAAGTCTTTACAAACAAATTTGATGGTCCCTATTATAGTTGGACAGTTGTGACTTGGGATAGACAAGAAAGATACTTAATTCGCGGTAAATGTTTATCTCCTCTAAATTTCCTATATATGTGTTTGCTTCTATTGTTTTCACTAATGAATCTAATGTCTTCGAAATCTAGAAAACCTACACGTGGGATCCCCTAATCTCAGGGACAGTTCAAAGGGAGTTCGTGAAGATATGTAAACGCCGGATGAAGGGCATGGTTAGCACTATGCGCAGAAGCCATAAACGACCAACTTGGATTGAGCCCCCACTCTGGACAGTGATGTGCACCGAGTGGGACACAGAATTAGCAAAACAAAAGGAGCAAAACCTATTCTACTGCTCGTTTGTCTGATCGCAAAGGTCTTGGTCCTCACAAACATTTATCTGGGCAGATGTCGTATACACAAATCCAACAGGAAATGGTAAGTTACATTTACATATCTTACAATTTCTATATCTTTAACCACTGCTATTTTAAAAATCTTTTCATTATTTGTAACATTTCAGGAGGAGAGTTAGGAAGACCAGTGAGTATTGGTGAGGTTTTTATCAAGACCCATACAAGACAGGACGGAACATTTGTTGATGCAAAGGCCAAGAACATCGCTGAAATTTATGAGAACAACGTCAAAGCTAAGTTGTCCGAGCTGGAGGCAAATAATTCAGAAACTTTGAATGGTGATCCTCAACGTCGCCATCTCTCCATATACGAGTACAACGAGCTATTTCTGTTGGTAATATACATTCTTCACTAACTGGTTTGATTTTTCAGTCTGTTATTTATCTTACACACTCTACATTATAACTTGTTTTCTTTTGACAGTCCACTTTCAAGGATGAAAGAGGACGTCCTTATGGCTTTGGAAGCCTCAATAATTCTCATGTTAATGGCAAGCGTAAGGAAAGCTCTTCATGCTTTGTGACGTTCGAACAACAACTAGAAGAAGCTAAACATCAGATAGAAGAGCAAGCTGCTTATAATACACAGCGTGAAGCAGAGAGTTCTTGACAATTGGCTGAGCAACAAAAAGAGATCAAGCGCTTCTCATTGGTGGAGCAGTTCCTCCGTGAGACTAATCCTGAGTTTGTAGACTTTATGGCTTCTCAACCCGCTCCATCATGTGCAGGTTCGACCCAAAACACAGCTCCCTCTCTCGTTCTTTCTTAATCCACTGTTTTTGTACTTATGACTACTTTTGTATTGTACTAAAGACTTAATGTTTTGGTAACTCCACTGTTGGAGTTTTCATCTGTAGACTTAATGTTTTGATAACTCCATTGTTGGAATTTTGTTTGTAGAAAATGGTTTATATATAAACTATTTTGCATTTTCTATATTAGTTATTCTAAATTTGCAGATTTGAATGCCAAAACAATTACTAATTTTGTAGATTTGAGTACCAAAAGAATTACCAAATACAAAATTTAATAAACAAATAAGTCATTATTTAGTCATATATTAGTCACTAAAAAGTTGTAAAATTGTGGTATAATAGTCGCTAAAAAATTACCATTTTTTGTATCCATACTATGTTTAATCGCTAAATTATCGCAATAAAGTCATTAACTTAATCACTGAATAATCACGTTTTAGTCGCACTTTTAAAAACAAATTAGTCGTACTACCGTCGGTAAGTGGTCACTATCTTTTAGTCGCTAAATAGTCGCGTATTAGTCGCACTTTTAAAAACAAATTAGTCGTAATATCGTCGGTAAGTGGTCACTATCTTTTGCGACTATTTTCCAACTAATTAGTGACAACAAACTGAACTCGCTTATTAGTCATAAGATAGTCGTAAATTTATGACTAATATGCGACTGTTGGATTTTGCGACTAAGGATTGGTGACTTCTCTGATTAGTCGCAAAATAGTCGTAAATGTCATATTTACGACTAATAAGCGACTAATTTTGCAGTCATTAATTAACAGTTTTCTTGTAGTGAGATCAGGAGGCAAGCTTACCACTTTTTCATCCCTGAGCTCTGCCAAGCCTAGGGTCTGAAAGCTAGCGCCAAGCTCGTTGAGTTTCCTTCTTTCACTCTAGCCAACGACCTATGGGATTTGATCAGCAACGATGACTACAAGGCTAACACGGCCAAGATCAAGAGAGTCCGCAGCCCCGTGCTGAGATACACCCTCAAGCTCATAGCCAACACTTTCAGTGGAAGGTATGTGACTCCAACAGTCACCAAGAATGAGTTGTGTTTTCTCTTCCAAGGCGTTAAGCACCTTCTATGCGATCCTAAGGAGAATGACGAGCCGATGGAAGATGATCTTGGAGATGATGTCAATTATGGATGCATTTTGGCTTCCTCAAGTTGCTCGTGCACCTTCAGAATCACCTCCCTCAGATGCCGTGATGCCAGCCAGCTTCGACCTCCCTAAGCTTGATTTGAGCCTAGGACCAAAACCGAGAATTTCCTTGCATCCATGGTAGAGATTCAGCGGAAGGTGAATAAGTGGCAGAGCAAGATGATTAAAAAGCTTGCCAAGAAGATCAAGGACTTGCAAAAGAGCTCATCTGAGGCATCTTCAAGCGATGATGTTGAGCAACCCGAGAAGAGAAGGAGTTCAACTGGTCGGATAGTGATCCGTGAGCCCCAAGGTGAAAACCAAGCTGCACGCCGCTCTCTACACGAAGGAGCAAGCAAGGAGAAAGGCAAGGTGGTCACCCACGAGACTCCTAGAAAGAGCAGGAAGTCTGGAGCATCCTCAAGCTCCAGCCATGCCTAGCTCTGAGGTACCAACTCACAACCTTGTAAATATCATGCATTTTCTTTAATTTTTGCATTGTAATTTGACTCCTCTTGAATTTGTTTGCCACCGAGACAGTGTCATTCAATTTTGGGGGAGTATGTGTGTTATTTGACATGTTTTCTTTGATATTATTTTCTGTTATCTTACTTGAGTCACCATGCATCATGTAAGGCATAGAAAAGAACAAAAAAAATGATAAAAAATTTAAAAAATTTCAAAACAATCCATGTAGCTTGCATTTGAATTGCTAAACATTTTAGGATTGAGTCTAGAATTTTTAAAATCATTTAGGTTGTTTACATTTGCATAAGAGGCAAAAGTTTTTCTTAAAAAGTGTTTTAAGCTCATGAATTGTTTCAAGGCCCTAGTTTGTAGTTCTTTGATGCATTGTTCACACTTTGAAAGTAAGCTCTAACCATATTTGGATCATTTGTTTTGATTTTCGTGGCCTAAGTTGAACATTCATGAATTGAATCCTTTCCTATCAAGTGAGAACTTTAATTTGAATTTCTTGAATTATCATACTTATGCATTTGAAAAAGGATACATGGATCACTTATACATATTTAGGCTTTCTTCTTCCTTTCACCACTCTCTTGTAAGCCTAAATAGACTTCCCCACCTTTACCCTACCCTCCTTTCAAGCCAATGTTCTTGTGTATTTGAATCTTTGTGAGGCCTCTTTTCGGTTGGACTTAGCATAAAGTGTTAGGTTTAGGCGACATGATTAGGCTTTCATATTGATGCTAGCTTTGCATTTTGAAGCTAGTTTTAGGCTTAGGATAGGGCGGGTATTCATGGGAGTTGTTCTGTTTTTGTTCCAGTTTAAAGAGTTTGGAGTTTGGAAGTTGAATAAACGGGTTTAATGGTTTTAAGTGGAAGACTTTGTGTTTAAAATGAAAGCTCTAGTTTTAAAAGTAGGTAGCTCTCAAAAAGAAAAAAAATAGAAAAAAAAAATAAAGAAAAGAGCCAAAAAGGCCAATGTTTAAAAAAAAAAAAAAATGAGTAGAGAGCTATCAAACTAAAAAGAAAAGAGCTAAATATGTTTATAGCCTTACCACTAGCCAAAAAGGTTTTAAAGTGATGTGTTTATTTGGGTTTTGCTAGGCGTTTTGCCTTGTTGATAAGGGTAGTCTTTAGGTAGTTGAGTGAGCTTAAGAAGAAAAGAAAAATGAGAGAGGGTTCTAGGATCATTGTTAGTGTATATGGGTAGATGGGAGTCTAGTCATGTATGCATCAATTGTTTTTATCTTTAGCATTATGCATAAGTTCAACCATTCTTTGAGATAACCCATTGTTTGAATCACCCTTATAAATGAGATCATTTTTGTCTCATAACC